CCCCCTGAAACCCCACACTCTTCTAGCACTGATAATGTTACCTAGTTCGGTAATTAAAGGTCTGCAAGAGAACCATAAGTTCAAAGAGTACCAAGGATTATTATTATTACTATTATTACTATTATTATTATTATTTCTCCTCCTCCTCCTCCTCCTCCTCCTCCTCCTCCTCCTCCCTGAAACCCCACACTCCTCTAGCACTGATAACGTTACCTAGTTGGGTAATTAAAGGTCTTCAAGAAAATCACCCAGCTGAAAGGGCACCAAGGATTATGGCTCCTCCTCCCTCGAACTCTGCAAACACCACTCCCACTTAACACTGATGATGTTAGCTAGCTGGGTCATGCAACGTCTGAGAGAAAACCACCCGGCTCAAAGAGCACCAAGGACCCCGCCTTTCATCCCTGAGCTACAGAGATTCTCCTCCGTGGATCTTGCGACTCTGCCGGGCCCCCCTTGCCTTGGCAAGTTGGCTTGGCGGTGCCTGCTCTCACCTACCCTGCCTGAAGCTGGAGTCGATCGGCAGGTCCGAAGCCAGGCCGTTGGCCTGGGGTCTGTAGCTGAGATCAATCAGTTGGTTGAGGCGAAGTTTTCGGCAGTAGATGGAGGCTGCCTCTGGCTCCAGAGCAATCAGCAGCTTCTCGGGGTTCTCTGAAGACACCAGCCCTGCCTGAAAGGAAGAATGATTGAAAGGGGGAGGACTCCTCTCATTAGCCAAGAGGGAGGGACCCCCTTCCAAACCACACATCTGGAGGGCAGCAGGTTGGAGAAAGCCTAAGGTGAGTCCAAATTTCTGCTCTGGAGAAATATTGGCCATCTCCCCCTCGAGGATAGGTGGTATTCAGCCTCTTTGGACCAGTTCTGGAGAACCGGTAGCGGAAATGTTGAGTAGTTTGGAGAACCGGCAAACTACTCAACGGAGAAGAGAGCAACGTGGGTTGGGTGGCTTATGGGGGAGGAAAGGGCCCTGATTCCCTTCACTAGCAAATCCCACCTCTGACTGGCCCCGTCAACCCCATCTATTCTCTGTGTCATACCCCTGTCGGAATCTGACTTCTGATTGGGAGGAGGAAGATGAACAGCTGACAGGGAGGGGGAGTGTGGCTCCATTGCCTGTGGAGGAAACTGGGGAAGGGCAAAGTCTGGCTGGGCAGAGCAGGGGAGAGGTAGACCAAGGGAGAGGGAATTCAGAGGAAGACCCAGACCCACCCCCTCTTCATCCTAGGGCACACAGGGAGGAATGGAGAAGGAAGCAAGGAATGAAGGGAAGGAGAAAGAAAGAAGAAAGAAAGAAAAAAAGAAAGAAATAAAAAAGAAAGAAAGAAAAAAGAAAGAAAGAAAGAAAGAAAGAAAGAAAGAAAGAAAGAAAGAAAGAAAGAAAGAAAGAAAGAAAGAAAGAAAGAAAGAGAGAGGGAGGGAGGGAAGGGAAGCAAGGAAGGAAGAGAGAGAGAGAGAGAAAGAAAAGAAAAAAGAAAGAGAAAAGGAAGAAAGAAAAAGAGAGAACAGAAAGTAGAAAGAAAAAAGAGAAATAAAGAAAGAGAGGAAAAAGAAAGAAGGAGGGAGGGAAGGAAGGAAGAGAGAGAGAGAGAGAAAGAAAGAAGGAAAGAAGGAAGAAAAGAAAGAAAGAAATGAAAAGGAGAGGAAGGAGATGGAAGATGGGAGGGAGAGAGGGAGGGAGGGAGGAAGGAAGGAAGGAAGGAAGGAAGGAAGAGGAAGGAAGGAAGGAAGGAAGGAAGAGGAAGGAAGGAAGGAAGGAAGGAAGGAAGGAAGGAAGGAAGGAAGGAAGGAAGGAAGGAAGGAAGGAAGGAAGGAAGGGACAACGCCACTCACCAAATAGGCGGCTTCCCTCATGAACTGTTTAGCCGGCTGTTTCCAAATGGCAGGCACCGTGATCACCCACCGGATGGCGTCTGCCACAGGCAAGGCCGGGCACTGGTCCTTCAGCTCCTGCAAAATGGGTGGGTGGGGTCACAGGGGGTCTGGGCTCCATATCAGAGCCAGGAGGAAATCTATCACATGAGATATGCTGGCTGGAAATTCTGGGAGTTGGTCCTTATGGCTTAAAGCAGCCAAGGTTGGAGACCCCGATTAACAATAAAGAAATTACTTCAACCTACTAAAAGAGTTGGGAGGGTACTTCCCTCCCCCCTTCCCCCCTCCCCCCTCCCCCTCCCTCCCTCCCTCCCTTCCTCCCTCCCTCCCTCCCTTCCTTCCTTCCTTCCTTCCTTCCACCCACCCTCCTTTCTTTCCACTCTCCCTTCCTTCTCTCTCTCCCTCCACTCTTCTTTCCTTCCTTCCCCCCTCCCTTCTTTCCTCCCTCCCTTCTTTTTCTCCCTCCCTCCCTCTCTTTCTTCCTTCCTCCTTCCCACCTTCTCTTCCTTCCTCCCTCTCTCTTTCCCTTCCTCCCTTCTTTTTCTCCCTCCCTCCCTTCTTTCCTTCCTTCCTTTGTTCCCTCCCTTCTTTTCTCCCTCCTTTCCTTCCTTCCTCCTTCCCTCCCTCCTTTTTTCCTTTTTACCTGGCAAGGTAGATGATATCTTCCCCCCACCCCACCCCAGAATCTGCCCCTTTCCCTCTCACCCGCACGGCCTGCTGCTTGAAGAAACGGAGGGCGTGAGCAAAGACCTCCAGCGCTTGCACCTTCTTCCCGTTCACGGCTGCCAGTTCTGTCTTCAGGCTCAAATCCTGGGGAAAAGACGACAACCGTTATAATCTCCAACCATCTCTGCCTGTCTCGGTCCTGGAACCACGGTGACTGTCATGCCCCTGTTGGAGTCTGAATCCGAGGAAGAAGCTGAGCCGCTGACAGCGAGTGGGAGTGTGGCTCCCTTGGCTGTGGAGGAAACTGGGGAAGGGCAAAGTCCGGCTGGACAGAGCAGGGAAGAGATAGAACAAGGGAGAAGGGAGTTCAGAGTAAGCACCAGGCCCACCGCCTCTTCATCCTAGGGCACGCAGGGAGGAACAGAGAAGAGAGCAACGTGGGTTGGGTGGCTTATGGGGGAGGAAAGGGCCCTGATTCCCTTCATTAACCACACCTGGGAAGAGTGTTTAAAAGAGATGCAAGTGGAGTATGGCATCTAGAGGGAATAAACATGAGTTTATCTTCAAGGGTGGGATTCAAATTTTGTAACAACCGGTTCTGTAGGCGTGGCTAAGTGGGTGTGGCTAGGTGGGTATGGCCATGTGAGTGGGTGGATGTGGCTCTTTTTTTTTAACAACACCCCCCCCACACACACCCTGTTTTTTGGGCCTTCTGCACCTCAGGGAAGCCTCCTGTGGGGTGTGTTTTTGCTCCTAAAAGGCTTCCCTGGGGCCCAGGAAGGCAAAAATGGAGCCCTTTGGAGAACACATTGAAACCCTCTTCTTTGAATCACCATGCTAGAAGGGACCTTAGAGGTCTTCTAGCCCAACCTCCCTGCTCAAGCAGGAGGCACTCTACCATTTCAGACAAATGGTTGTCCAATCTCTTCTTCAAAACCTCCAGTGATGGAGCACCCACCACTTCTGAAGGCAAAAGCCGTTCCACGGCTTAATTGTCCTCCCTGTCAAGAAGTTTCTCCTTAATTCCAGGTTGCTTCTCTCCTTCGTTAGTTTCCATCCGTTGTTTCTTGTCCTGCCTTCAGGTGCTTCGGAGAATAGATTGACCTCCCCCTTCTTTCTGGCAGCCCCTCAAATAGTTGGAAGACTGCTCTCATGTCCCGTCCCCCCGCGTCCTTCTTTTCATTAACAGATAAGAGATCATCAGAGTTGGAAGGGACCTTGTAGGTCATCTAGTCCACCCCCCTGCCCAAGCAGGAGACCCTACACCATTTCTGACAGAGGGCAGTCCAGTCTCTTCTTGAAAGTCTCAAGTGATGAAGCTCCCACAACTTCTGAAGGCAACTCCTGTTCCATGGGTGGATTGTTCTCCCTGTCAGGAAATTCCTCCTTATTTCCAGGTTGAATCTCTCCTTGTTTAGTTTCCATCCATTATTCCTTGTCTGGCCTTTAGGTGCCTTGGAAAATAGCTTGACCCCTTCCTTTCTGTGGCAGCCCCTCAAATATTGGAAGACTGCTCTCCTGTCCCCCCTGGTCCTTCTCTTCACTAGACTAGCCAGGCCCAGTTCCTGCAGCCGTTCTTCATATGTTTTAGCCTCCAGTCCCCTAATCATCCTGGTTGCTCTTCTCTGCACTCTTTCTAGAGCCTCAACATCTTGTTTATAGTATGGTGACCAAAACTGGATGCAGTGCTCTAGGTGTGGTCTTACTAAGGCTTTATAGAATGATGTTAGTACCTCATTTGATCTGGATTGTATCCCTCTGTTAATGCAACTTAAACTAGACATAACCCACTTCCTGCACCCACTCTTCCATGTTTTAGTCTTGAGGTTCCTGGGATCTACTCACGCTGGAACTGTGGATCTTCATTTTGAACTTTTCAAAGTAGAGCCACTCACGGGCCTCCTCAGGATCCAGATCGTGGTAATAGTCCCGGGCCGTGTAGCCAAAGCTGTGGAAGGTGCCTTCTGGGGTCAAGAGAAGGCTGGTCGGGGTCTTCTGGTGGGCCACTCCAGGGTCTCCTCCTTCCCATTTCCTGCCAGGGAAAATCCAAAGTGGAATTAATTCTCTGAGCTCCCCCCTCACTGGAAGGCTGCAGAGGTCTTTGGGATGGGGCTGCCCTGTTCCGCAACGGGGAATCCATCGGACTGAATTTTGTAGCAGGCACATCAGGGTTTCGGCTGAAGTTTGTCTGGTACCCAAAGAAATTTTGCCAGAAAGAATACACCATTTAGAACAAGACCCGTAGCTGTGTCAGGAGATTCGTTCTCTAGCAATTCCTCTGGAATGGATATAGCACTTAACAAGACACTTGTTATAGGATCACAGATGTTTCATGACCCAACTAGGTAACATCATCAATGCTAGAAGTTGGAGAAAGAGGAGGAGGAGGAATGTGGGGTCCTTGGTGCTCTCTGAGCTTTTAGTTTTCTTGCAGATGTTTCATGACCCAGCTAGGTAACATCATCAGTGTTACAAGTTGAGAGTTGAAGGAGGAAGGAAGAGGAGGAAAAGGAGGAGGAGGGAGAAAGACTCTGAGCTGGGTTGTTTTCTTGCAAACGTTTCATGACCCAGCTAAGTAACATCATCAGTGCTAGAAGTTGGAGGAGGAAGAGGAAGAGGAGGAAAAGGAAGAGGAAAAGGAGGAGGAAGAGGAGGAGGAATGTGGGTCCTTGGTGCTGTCTGAGCTTTTAGTTTACTTGATGTTTCATGACCCAACTAGGTAACATCATCAGTGCTAGAAGTTGGAGGAGGGAGAGGAGGAAACGGTGAAGGGGGAAGGAGAGGAGGAGGAGGAGGAGGAGGAGGAGGAAGAGGAAGAGAAGGAGGACCGAGTTTGCTTGTTTTCTTGCAAACATTTTATGACCCAGCTAGGTAAATTCATCAGTGCTGGAAGTTGGAGGAGGGAGAGGAGGAAAAGGTGAAGGGGGAAAGAGGAGGAAGAGGAGGAGGAAAAAGAGGAAGAGAAAGAGGACTGTGCTTGGTAGTTTTCTTGCAAACATTTTATGACCCAACTAGGTAACATCATCAGTGCTGGAAGTTGGAGGAGGAAGTGGGGAAGGAAAAGGAGGAGGAGGAAGAAGAGGAGGAATGCGAGGTCTTTGGTGCTCTTTGAACTTGGTTGTTTTCTTTCCGATGTTTCATGACCCAATTAAGTTACATCATCAGTGCTAGAAGGAAGTGGGGTTTAGGAGGAGGAGGATGACTGTGGGTCCCCTGGTGCCCTCTGAGCTTGGTAGTTTTCTTGCAGGCATTTCCTGACCCAGCTAGGGAACATCATCAGTGCACTGAAGGATAATGAGCCACCTGCAAGGATGCCGCTAAGCTGAAAGAGCACCAAGGAGCCCTCATTTCGACCTGAGCCATAAATATTCTCCTTTTCCTCCCAAGACCGGCCGGGGGGACACCCTTGCAATCCTCCTCCGGGCTTTGGGACGGGCGCAGGGGTCCTTCTCGCCAGAGGGGTCAGCCAGAGTCGGAAAAGCCTCGCCTTCTGGAGATGGGAGGCCCATGAAATCCAGACTGAAAAGAAGACAACATTCAAACTGTCGTGTCCTGGTTTAGAAGCCCGAACAGAGATCGATAGGGCTGGAAGGGACCTCGGAGGTCTTCTAGTCCAACCCCCTTCTCAGACAAGAGACGCTATCCCATCCCAGACAGTCTAGTCTCTTCTTAAAACCTCCCATGGTGGAGGACTCACAACTGGAGGAAGCTCATTTCAAGGATTATTTGTTCTCCCTGTCGGGAAATTCCTCCTTATTTCCTAGTCAGACTTCCACTCATTGTTTCTTATCCTGCCCTCTGGTGCTATTTTTTTTTTTTTCTATAAGGAAGGTCATCTTAGCATGTTTATATCAGGCATTAAGGACCATGTCCGCACACGGGACCTGAAGGTCCAATTAAGCGGATTTATTGCTAAAAGCCTTCTCAACTCAAGGTCAGCACCTGCTCGGAATTAGATAAAGGTCCACAGAATTCAAGGGAGGTTGGAGTTAGTTCACTTGTGCCTACGTAGGGATTCTCAGGAGACGCCACCTTTGACCCCACCCCTCAGGTTCTGCCGTCTCTTCTCCTACACATCTACTTCCTTGGATTTCCCATCTTTCTTTCTTTCTTTCTTTCTTTCTTTCTTTCTTTCTTTCTTTCT